TATATTTCTCTTGGGTTATGATATTGGACATCAGATTTTTTGTTTAGTTCTGATCTCCTTATGAAAGCTTGAAATCTTTTTATTTCATTTAATTACCATTTTTCCCTGAGTAAGTGATTCTTCATTCTAGTCCTAGTTCCTTTGCCTTCCAAAATATCATGTTGTATGATTTCAGATCCTTTAATTTTGCAGCTGACAAGTCCAGTGTAATCCCGATTGTGATTCCCTGATATTTTAATTGTTTCTTTCTAGCCATTTGTAGTATTTTTTCCTTGACTTAATAGTCCTGAAATTTGACTATCATATTCCTTGAAATTTTTATTTTGGGACCTCTTTCCTGAGGTTATTGATGGATTCTTTCAATGCCTGTTTTGTCCTCTGGTTCCAGGATATCAGGGCAATTTTCATTGATAATTTCCTGAAAGATGCTGTCCAGGTCCTCCTTTTGATTATGGCTTTAAGGTGGCCTAATGATTCTGGTATTGCTTCTCCTGGATTTATTTTCCAGGTCAGTTGTTTTTTCCCAAGAGCTATTTTACATTTTCTTTCATTTTTTCATTCTTTTTAATTTGTTTGATTCCTTCTTTCGGTCTTACAGCTTCATTAGCTTCCACTTGCCGAATTCTAACTTTTAAGGAGTTGTATTCTTCAGTTAGTTTTTGTACTTTCTTTTTCATTTGGCTGATTGTACTCTTTAAGATGTTGTTTAATTCAATGCATTTTTGTATCTCCTTTTCCTTTCGGCCAATTCTAATAGTTTTCCAAGCTGTTGATTCTTTTCATAATTCTCTTGCACAACTTTCATGTCTTTTCCCATTTTTGTTCTATTTCTCGTTTATGATTTTTGAGCTTCTTTTTGAGCTCTTCCATGAGTTCTTTCTGTGCTTGAGATAACTTCCCATTTTTCTTTGGGCTTTTGCCTCTAGGTGTTTTGATATTGTTGTCCTCTTCTGAGTTTGTCTTAGTCTTCCCTGTCACCATAATAATTTTCTATGGTCAGATTCTTTCTTTGCTGTTTTTTTGCTCATCTTTTTTGGCATTTTTCCTTTCTCTTAAATTTGAGTTCTGCATCTGGGGTGGGAGGGCACTGTCTCAGGCTTTTTGTGCCAGTGACTACATGCCCTGGTTGCTTACCTGGTGCTGTGCTGATGTTGCCCTGAGGCCCTGGGGGACTATCATGTCTGGTACTGTGCTAAGGGTTTTGGATGGTGGATAGCTGGTGCTTCTGGAGTCCATAATGGTCTAGAAGCTTACCTGGTACTGAGCTGGGTGGTGTCTGGGTGTGCTGAGGTCAGATTTGTTTCTGGGTCTCCCCAAATCAGACTAAAACATTAGTACTGAAGTACGTGGAGTTCTAGGCACTGGAGGATGCCTGTTTCCCCTGTACTGTGCTTAAGGATGTGGAGGTCTGGCTTCCTTTCTTTTCATGCCAGAAGATGCCTGTTTGGGAAGGGCTTATACTGAAGCATGTGGTGGTTCTCAGAGCTGCCAGTTCCCTTATCTATGTAAGACACTTGGGGTTCCTGGTGTTCGCATTTGTCCATTCCACCACACTGGGGCTTAGGATCTCCCACTAGTTTGCTGATGTGGGGCTTGCTGCTGGCTTGCTGGGATGCTTTCTGTCATAGACTGGGCTCCCCTTTCATCTGATTGAAATGGACCTTTCTTATTGATCTAAGTTTCTTGGGCTAAAAGATTGTTTCACCTCATCTTTTTGCTGGTTCTTCTGTTTCAGGATTTTTGTGGCACTATTTTGTGGGGTTTTTTGGAGGTGAATATAGGAAAGTTACAGTGATTTATCCCTTACTCCACCATTTTGGCTCCCAGAAGTCAACTAGTCCATGTATTTGAATGTGATTTCTTTGCACCATATCAGAATCAGCTTAAGTTTGTACTTAACTGGCATGATCTTTGAGAACATAAGGTCACCTACACAACATGACAAATATCAGACTAAAACATTAATGAAAAATAAAGTCAACTAAAACCTCTAAATTCTATTTTCGCTTCTTATGCAAATCTTTTTTGATTTCTGTATAGTCTGTAATCTGTATATTACTGTAATTACTTGACAGCATTGTATCATCTTTGCATTTGTTTTGAAATCAAAATAATTTGTACCTTTTTAAAAGATTTTGTTTTGTTTGTTATTAATCAGTATAGGACCAAGGGCAGAGCCTTGTCTCATGTATCCCTCTGACAGTTCCTTTAGGTAGACATCAAAGTATTAATGGATTCCACCAACTACATATCTAACTAATTATAGATTAACTAGCAATTATTTTACTCACGAGTATCTCTTGATCTCACATGCTTATTGAAATTAAAGGCAAAATATTTATGGAATTCCATCTCTATCACTTTACCTTGAAATTTAATTTTTTTTAAAAGTCAAAGAATTAAGTTTTGGAAGATCTTTTAGTATATATGGAATAGCTTCTCAAAACAATAAATCATACACACAATGCCTTAAAGTATACAAAGTCCTTTACAAACATGATCTCCTTTTTGGCTTGTAAAAACTATATGAGGCAGCTAAAGCAACTTTTTTTATCATCTTCATTTTGCAGAAAAGAAAATTGAGGTGGAGAAAGCAAGTGAGTTGTTAGCCAAAAAACTATTAATTGTGAGAGAAGGGGTAAGAACTTCCTTTTCAAATTAAAATGCTACCAAACATCCATGTAAGTGTATATTGTAAAGGGTGGTGCAGTGGATAGAGCACCAGCCCTGGAGTCAGGAGGACCTGAGCTCAAATCCAACCTCAGACACATAACATTCACTAGCTGTGTGACTCTGGGCAAGTCACTTAACCCCAATTGCCCTCACTGAAAAAAAAAAAAGAATATATTGTAGAAGTCTGGATCACAGTTAGGAAATCAAAGCAGCTTATGATGTGGATAAGTAAGAGGACAAAAATACAACCTAGAAGAACTGTTTAAGAAAGGCATTTAGTTAGGACTAAAAAGAAACAGTTCACAACACAGTGAGATCAGCCCACTAAAAAAAAAATATTCCAGTTAAAGAATAGTACTAAATAAGGCTGAACAAATAGGTTAGATTAAATTGATAGCTTTTAAAGGACAAGTTGCTTACATTGTTTATATTATTTTTAAAGCAAAAATTGAATGAAAAAAAACATGCACAAAAGAATATTATATCCTTCCCAGAAAAATAAAATAAAATAAGTAGTGAAACATAAGCTCTTAGCACCATGATGGGGAAAAATGGATCAAATGGAAAATAGCATTTCTAGAATCTTGTGTTCCATTTCTAATTCTACCACTAAATTTTCCTTTAATCTTCATATGTGTCTGTTTACAAATTTATAAAATGGAGTGATTATTTTTTTTTCTGGTTTGGGATAAACTTCTGGTAAGAGGGACCAGCTGTATTCATCACCAGAAAAAGAAATATACCAAATAAAGTAAAAGAAAAAGAAAAAAAAGTAAGAAAAGGGGAAATAAATTTTTAAAAAATGAATGTAGGGAATCCTTGAAGAAAAAATTAGCAGTAAGACTAAAAAGAAATAAGTAAACAAAAATGAGGTTTAAATGTAATGGATAAATGTTATGGGTTTTACAATTAAAAAACAATCTGAAGAAAGGAACAATATTGAAATTATATTATATATACTCCATAAGTAGCTTTGGCTAGAATACTTAACATAATATGTAATATTAATAAAATAATTAAAAGAAGAAATAAAAAGGGGAAATTAGAGGTTTTAATGGAAAACTTAAAATGTAAACAAAAGAATAGACTATCACAGATCTTTGGAAATTTCAATAAAGTATTGACTATGTTAAAAAAAAGAATGGAGAGAAGGGTTGAAAATTATAGAAATGAATATATGCATATGTATATATGCATGTATATGTGCATATGTGTGTGTGTGTGTGTGTGTGTGTGTGTATATCTATCTGGAAAAACAAATAGCTAAATTGAAAGAACACTTGCCCTAATGAAGCAAAGCAATGACCCTTGAACAGATAAATTATCTTCTAAAAATTATTGGCTTCCCAGAAAAAAAAGATGAAAATAATAGCATAAAAATCCTTTTGAATGAGAAATTTTCTTAGATATATCAGGAAAAAAGTGTGTGTGTGTGTGTGTATGTGTGTGTGTGTGTGTGTGTTTGTAGAGGGAATATGAATGAAAGCAATCCAAACTATGCTATTACAGAAGAATTTCAAATTCAACTTACCTAGAAATATAATGATGATGTTCTGGAGCTTGGATTTTAAGACTCTTATAATTAGTTCAGAAGAAGGAATTTGTGTATCAAGGTGAACATGGCATAAATCACATGGGAGTACTTATTAATAATCAGAAATAAATGAAAATGCTGAATTATGATGATATAATGAAAAGAAAGAGAAATCTGCCTAAAACTTCAAAATAACATGTCCTGCAAAGCTAAGCATTATCTTCCCTAAAAAAAAGATGAATTTCAATTAGGCAGACAAATTTTTCTTTTTTTCATCTTCTTTGTTATTTTTTAACACTTAATGTAATGTTTATAGCTTTATCCTTAGACTCTTTTATTTCTAAGTCAGCAGTTCTTCCTAGCCTTCATTTTCTTTTTCATTTCAAGATTTCCACCTATTTTCTCAAATTTGCTTATTCTTATTTATAAGTGAGAATGCTGAATATTCCTAAACTTAAGAAAGTCCTTAATATCTTATTCATTGTATTTGGGGGTTTTCATTTTTCTCATAGAGAAAAAAATTAATTTAGTCATAACTCATCTTCATATATCATCCACCTGCTACTTCTACAACACAAGCCTGGTTAGTAAAATGTGATGTATGTTGTCCTAATTTCTACTGCATGGAGAAGGAAAAATCATTAAGAAAATCTTTAACCATCATGTGGAAAACCGGAAAAGTCCAAAGCTTTGCCCTCAAGGTTCAATCATTGTCTTTTATCCACTGCTCAATCCATTTCATTATCTGATCTAAATTATTCTCTAGTTCTTGCTGGGCAGCCAGTGTACTATTTCATGGTTGGAGGTTTTTGGCTTCACAAAGAATTTGGAAAATTTCCCACTGAATATTGTCCTGTAGTTTCTTTACACTGTATCCCCTCTTTTCAAATCTTAAATATAATACAGAATTATCTGTTTGAAGCACAAAAACTATATGAAACCATTGTTTAGGGAAGAAGTCACAGCCATGGTAATCAACAATAACTCCACCTTTTTTCGTTTTATTCTCTAACTCATCAATTACTCTGTCTTCTTCCAAAATGGGACATTCATAGTCTTCATCAAAGCCATCACTTAACAATACTTCTTGGGCTAAATTGCCCACATTAATGTCTGTTCTTGTTGCAAGTTCTTTACCTAGCATGGTCCTTCCAATCCCTGGTGTACCCATGAGTAGGATGTTGGGCAGCTTCATGGTCAAAATGGCACCAGCTCCACCCTGGTCACCTGCTCTCCACAAAGAAGCAGCAGGTGGGGGAGGGGCTAGGCAGGAGCCAAGGGGGTGGACCCAAGGTCCTCTGGCAGGCAAATTTTTCAATCATTCCTTAGGGAAAGCTACAGGTGATTAGAACCTTTCCCATGTAAATGCAACAGTCAAAAAAAATGAACCACAATAAACAATTTCACATAGTAGGAATAAGCTAAAAGTTGACTAGATATAACGTATATATATAAGAGCAAGTTGTTTTTCCTTAGAAGTCCAAACTTTTCTGAGGATCATTCAGTAATAAAAACTAGAATAGGTATAAGATGCTATGAATGGTGATCAGACAGAAGTATACTAGAACAAAGGTCTGAGGAGGGAAAGGGAAAATAAAGTTATTTCTTGACATTGGAAAGTCAGAGAGGAAGATCATCCAAACAAAAAAGATAGGGGCTGGGGAGGGGTATAGGATCCTGACATACATTCTTATCAGGGCTGGGTACAGGAAGTATAATACACACACACACACACACACATATACATACATATATATATATATTTATGTATATATATTTATAATTACATTTAACAATTTTGTTCTGAACTAGAGAGGGAAGAAAGGTAGAGTTGTATTTGTATCTGATATTGGAGATTTATTTCTCATTATTTTAAGCAAAAAAGAGGTTTATTTCTGACTTTTAAAAGCAGGAAATTTAATATAATTTGAAAGGAGGGAAAATAAGCAATACTACCAATTATAACTTTGGAAATAAAAGATTAGAATACTTTGTTGTTCTTCTGACTTCACTCCTGAGTCTCTGGACTTTCTTCATTGGGAAACGATGTCTTTATCAGCATGGAATTTTACTCTGCTCCTCTGACCAGTTCTTCTAATTGGTCAGTTTTCCTCCAGAACCTCAATTTAAGGAGAGTCCTTAGGTCAGCTTTCATTTCTATGAAAAATTCTGCTCTTGCCCTTAGGTGTGTGCCTTAACACTTCACATTTTTATCTCTATTTTACATAATATCCTCCCCCATTAGAATATATGCTCCTTGAGGTCAAAAATTAACTTTTGGCTTGTATTTGTATTTCCTGGTGCTTATTGACTTGTTGACTTGCTCACAAAAATAAAGAATTACAAAACAAATTTGAAAACAGAAATATAAAATGAAGAAGCATTTTCAAAACATTTAATATGTACAAAGCTATGTAAAAGATATTTTAATGTCATTTATATGCTTGGTCTGAATTATTCCCCCTCCCCCAAAAAAGTGGCAAGCATGAATTTTGATAAGACAAGGATAAAATTAGATAAATAATAAAAAATATAAACAACTTAATTGTTTTCTTAAAATCACCATAAATAGTGAAATGATAATATGAAATATTTATGAATATATGAAATATTTATATCATAACATCTAAGTACTTTAAGTAAAAGTGAGAAACAAACTTGCATTTTAGATAGTAAGACATTTAATATAGGTGACTTTAACATTCCTATTCCAGTCCTTAAAAATTCCAATAGACAATTTAACAAAAAAGAAATTATGTATCCTATGATGGAACTGACATATCTATGGCAATTAATGAATAAAAATCTTAAAGAATATAACTCATTCTTGGTGACAAATGGTATTTTTGACATTAGAGGACCTCTAGCTTATTCTCTCATTTTGAAGATAAGACAACTCAGACCTAGAGAAGTCAAATGACTTGTTTAAGGTCATTCAGCTAGTTAGTGATTGACCCAGGGCTAAAACTTCCATTGTTCTCCTATTGTACAAACATGATGCTATATGTGTGCATGGTTATATGTATATCCATTGTATGTGCATATATGCATATCTATCTAAAACCTCTCTGCATATAGCTATGCTGAAATATGCATATGCATAAAAGTATGAGACTCACCATAGTTAATTTGAGTCTGAAGTATAAATTTAGAACTTTAAAAAAATATACAAATGATTTTATTTCATTCCATCTTCATACTATCTAATACGCAAATGTCGTTTTCTTTTGTCTTCTACCCCCAAACTCCATGGACAAAAAACAGCATGCAAATCAACACATGACTAAATATAGTTTCTTTTAAAAGGAATTACAGCATAGGTAAATCACATACACATTTTATTAAGTACAATGAAATTTAAATCACTCTGATATTTAGCATCCCAAGTGAAAACAGTTATGTCATACCATTGCCCATTCTTTTATATTGCATTTAGTTTAAATTAGCTAGGATGGCATTGGTTGGATTTGTTATGGATTAATAAAATCTCCTTATTTCTTTATGCAACTACAAATGGCAAATGTACTTATTGTGAAGTTGGTAAACTTAAACAGCATTCTCCCCAGCCCCTCCCCTTTTTGAGATTAAGAAGTTCAAGGAATAGGATGAAGGATCTGATCAAATGTGTCATCTCAAGATACAAAGGCTGTTTTGTGATGTTTCACTTTGTTGGAACTTATGTGTATATCTCTCTGCTGTTTCTTCTTTCCTAGAAGGAAATTGAATCACAGAGATAAGTGACATCTAAAATAATGGCATGTGTGTCTGTAGCAAATCATTACCTCTCATATTTTGTTGCCGATGATAATGATAATGATAATTTGGCCTCCCAAGCTGCATTGTTTTGAGTAAGACCTTGGAACAGACTGTGTCCTCTATTCTAGGACCAACTTAGCTAAAAGATTGAGAGAGAGAGAGAGAGATCACAGACATCACAGACAGGTTGACATCACAATAATTAACATCTAATTCTGGGATCCAATAAAGCAGATGAAAATATAAATTCACCACAAATTTTTACAGCCCCTTATATTTCAGAAGAGTTAGAAGATAAGTGGAATGGACTCTGAGGGTGCTATGGATCATATGTTCTTTAACTCTCTTAAAATATTAATTTAACCAATACTCTTATTGCCAAACTCCTAAGAAGTTAATATGCCCAGGATAGAGTCAAAATGGCAGATTAGAAGTAGCCACTCAGCTGAACTCTCTCCTCCAACACTTTAAAATAAAGCCTTAAATAATATTTTGGAATGCAGAGCCAACAAAAAATCAGAGTCAGGGTAAGATTTTTTCTGGCCTAAGAAAATTTAAGGGGTAAGGAGGAGAAGTCTGAAATACTGGAATGGAATTCTTACAGATTTTGCCTGTAGTCAACACACAGGGCAGTGGCAACAGTGGCCACAGCAGAAATAGTAGCTTCAGAAGCTCTCAGCAAAGTGGGTGGACAACTGCTCAGAAAGAGATTATAGGGAACATTTTGCTCACACTGGGTATAGCTGCTGCTGATTGGCAATTCAGCTGCTCATACACAGTTCTGGGTCTAAGTTCCAGGGGGGAAAGGAGTGCTGGTGGTCAGTCACAAGGGAGTAGGAGCCATGGTCAGAGTACCAAAGCAGAGAGGAGCTCCAGTGCTTGTGGCTCCAGGGAACCAGAGACCTTTCCTGGCTAAAGACTAGAGTACAGTCCAGGAGAAGAGTGACTATACCTCTCCCAGGATCACACCACCTTGGAAGAACTAAAAACTTGCAGACCCTCAGAACTTCTGAAGAAAAGTAACACAAAAAAGTCTGAAGATTGAGATAGCACCTCCTCACACATAGGTGAGAAGAATTTAACTTTAATATGAAGTTTAAAATTAATAAAGAAGCTGGGAAAAATGAGCAAACAACAAAAATGTATTTGACAGTAAAAAGCTACTGCAGTAGCAGGGAAGACCAAGATGTAAAATCAGAGGAAGATAACAATGTGAAAACAGCTACCAAAAGTGCCTCAAAGAAAAGTGATCATTGGAAACAAACTCAACAAGAATTCCTAGAAGAGTTAAAGAAAAATATGAATGGTAGAAGAAAAATTGGGGAAAGAAATGAATAATTCAAGAAAATTATGAAAAGATAATAAACAACTTTGATTTAAAAAAAAGGCAGAAAAATACTGAAGAAAATAACATCTAAAACCAAAGAATTAGTCTAATGGTAAAAGAGGTGCAAAAACCCATTGAAAAAAATAACTCCTTAACAAGCAGAATTGACCAAATTGAGAAAGAAGTACAAATATCACTGAAGAAAATAATTCTTAAAAAATTAGACTTGGGCAGATGGAAGCAAATGACTCCATAAGACTTCAAGGAACAATAGAACATAGTAAAAAATGAAAGAAAAAAAACCAGGAAAAAAAAACATGAAATATCTTATCAGAAAAAAAACTGACCTGGAAAATAGATCAAGGACAGGTAGATTAAAAATTATTCAATTACCTGAAAGACATTACCAAAGAAAGAACCTAGACATCATATTTCAAAAAAAAATTATCAAGGAAAACTGCTTTGATATCTTAGATTCAGAGGGTAAAATATAAATTAAAAGAATCCACTGATAACTTCCTGAAAGAACTCCCAAAATGAAAATCCCAGGAATATTATAGCTAAATTCCAGAGCTTCCAAATCAAAAAAGAAAATATTTCAAGCAACCAGAAAGAAACAACTAAAATATTGAGTAGCCACAGTCAGTATCACACAGGATTTCATTACTTCCATTCTAAAGGAGAAAAAGGCTTGGAATATGATGTTCTGGAAGGCAAAGAAGCTGGAATCATAATCAAGAATCACCTACCTAGCAAAAATGAGCGGAAGCCTTAATGGAAAAATTAATATTTAATGAAACAGAGTACTTTTAAGCATTCCTGATGAAAAGATCAGTCAGTACAGAACAGAAAATTTAACATTCCAAGAGAAAACTCATGAGAAGCATAAAAAGGTAGACATCAAAGAGTAATCATAAATCAGTAAAGTTAAACTGCATTCATTCTTTTGTGTGTGAAGATGATACATGAACTTTCTAGAACTTTATCAATACTAAGGCAATTAAGAGGGAGTTTATATAGACAGAGTCCATAGGTGTAATTTGATTTTGTTGGGATAGTCTCCCCACAAAAAAAGAAGAGTAAAGTGGAGAGAAAGGGGAATGCACTGGAAA